TAGACCCTAAACCCATATAAGTACACGTATAACGGGCGTTATAAGTACCCTGAACCTGCAAGTGTGGTATCTAATTCCCACACAAGTGGCGCAGGACGGCAAGCGCGGCCTCGGTTGCCCAAGGGTGATTCGGGTTTGGGGTTTAGGGTTTAGGGTTTAGGGGTTTAGGGGTTTAGGGGTTTAGGGTTTAGGGGTTTAGGGTTTAGGGTTTAGAAGATGCTTTCAACTGCTCTGTTTTCGAGGTTGGGCGATCCAAAACCCTATAGGGCTTAGGGTCTTAGGGTAAGCCCTACATCCCAAACCTAAACCCTCAACCCTAACTCCAGAAGCGTACCACTGAGCTACCAAGAAGCTTTGGGGCTTTGGCAGGGCACGGGTTTGGGGTTTGGACATGGGGCTTGGGGTATGGGATGGTGTGTTTGGGGTTTAGGGTTTACGGCACCGCAAAACAAACCAACAGGCGCTGAATAGAAGCCCGAAAACCCTGCCCTGAACCTCCTACTGGCAGGTTTATGATCAGGCTTAGAACCCTAAACCCCAAACCCTAAATCCTAAACCCTAAAACCCTGGAGTTCACGGAGCTATCTACACGATCGCCCCTTTGCGTGATGTTGTTGTTGCTGTTGCATGGCCCTTAGAACCTTCTACTTGGGGTTCCTTAGGTTTTCGGGCTTGAGGTTTAAGATGTGCATATATATGTGCACACTTATACATATTTGTTTCTTTAAGGGTTCAGGGTTTAGGGTTTAGGGTTTAGGGCTTAGGGTTTAGGGTTTAGGGTTTAGGGTTTAGGGTCTAGGGTTTAGGGTGACAAGACGTACTCGACGCTCGCGCGCAAGGAAGATGAGCCGGCCCTCCCCAAGCTGCTTTAGCCCCCGCTAGGCTACTGCTGTATGTAGGAGAACCTAATCCCTAAGCCCGAAGGCTACCCGAAACCCTAAACCCTAAACCCCAAACCCTAAAGCCCTGAACATCGCCGGGGTCGGGGCGTCGTCATATCGACCTGGGACCACTTTTGGCAGGCAAAGAAAGCCACATGAGGTTTAGGGTTTAGGGTTTAGGGTTTAAGGGTTTAGGGTTTAGGGTTTGCACAGAGCTACTCCCCACCCCCTAACTTCTAAACAACTACAAGCTTAAAATGCTTCTCACCTTGTTGTTGCGTTTTATGCCTTGTTCCTTTGTTCTTCTCTGTTTGATGGTTCATTTTGATGGGGAACCTCGTCATCTACAACAATAGAAGCAAACCTCTACTTTCTCCACATTTGGATAGGACGACGTTCGCTTTTCTCTCGCCAAACAGGAAACGCTGAACTTGTATTTGACCCATAAAGGATGAATCGCAAGACCTCTTTTCATCTTATATTTGAATCGGGAAAACCTCTATTTTCAAATTTGCTGATTAGAAAGACTCGTCCCGCAAGTTACTTTTGTATCTTTTGATAGGAGAACCTCAATTTGCTTTGTGTTTTGAAAAGGGAAGCCGGTTGTATCTCTAAATTTAATCGGACAACCTCTAACACCTCTATAATGCCTCTATACTTCAGAAACAAGCCGTTGTCTGGAATTATGCTTTATTATGGCAGAATGTCGCCGCATTTTAATCGGAAAACCTCTATTTAGATTATTCTCGGAAAACATCGGGTTTAGGCCTAACACGCAACTTGTGCTTACAATCTTGACGTCGCCACAGCCCGCATCACCTCGACGCACGACTGATGCCACCGAAATGTAGATCCCAGTTCTGTCTTTCTGACCTTGTGTATTGGTTCAACGATTAATGTATCTCTTATTTCGCTGCTTCGCGATGTCATTCTTTATGTCTTTCTTCTTCTGTTGTGTATTAGCGCCTCTGGGATAGTCTGGGTTGGGCGCTTCTGCACGCTGTGTTGGGGGGAACTTTTTGGGGCAGTTTAGGGCTTAGGGGCGAGGAGAAGAGTTCAGCTCAAAATTTAACAACGCCACACCGAGGGTGGGGAAAATGAACGAAATGTGAAAGAAACATCTAAATCATCAGGGGGCCCAAAACTACCCTCCAGGTACATGCCAGCATCTAGACCAGGAATAGAGAGGGTGCTCATTTAAGTTTCAAGGGGCTTAGAAGGGAACCGAAACCCCAAAATAAGTAGAAGGCACTACTCTGGGTCCGAGGCATTTGTTCGAGTCTTGGGAACTTTCAGGCCTACACCACGCAACCTGACGAGGAAGCAGCATGTGGGTATTTCCTGAAATAGGGACCGACATAGTGCAGTCGAATCCCCCCCCCCCCACAAGGGGCAACCCTAGCTCAGAAGCCCTAAACCCTGAACCTGGAACCCCCTCAACCCTGAAAGTCTGAGCTCTTAGGGGGAGGGGATGGCCCTAAACCCTAAAACCCAAACCCTTTGGGGTAGACCCTGAAAAACTAGATATATATATATATGGTAACAGGGCCTCCTGTGATCCACTAGGCCTTCGTTCAAATTTATCATGTTAGCTCGTTTTGAATTTATTTCTAGCATACCAACCCTTCCAGCCGCTCTATATATTTTAGCTCGTTTTGAATATATTCCTAGCATACCAACCCTTCCAGACGCTCTATATATTCAAGACATCTTAGATGTTTCAGATGTTCCAGACATTCTCAACTTTTCAGACATTCCAGACGTGTCAAACATTCCAGACTTTCCAGACATTCCAGAATTTCCAAACTTTCCAGACATTCCAAACGTTTCCGATATTCCGGACGTTTCCAACATTCCAGACATGCCAAGATTTCCAAACTTTTAAGATATCCTAAACATTTCAAACTTTTCAGATATTTCAGACATTCCACACTTTTCAGACTTTTCAGACTTTTCAGACTTTTCAGACATTTCAGACTTTTCAGACATTTCAGACTTTTCAGACTTTTCAGACTTTTCAGACTTTTCAGACTTTTCAGACTTTTCAGACTTTTCAGACTTTTCAGACATTCCATGCATTCCAAAATTTCTAAACTCTTCAGACATTCCAAGCTTCTCAGACATTCCAAACGTTTTCAAGATTCCATACTTTCCAGGAATCCTAAAAGACTCAAACTTTTCAAACATTCCAGACATTTCAGACTTCTCAGATATTTCAAACATTCCAGACTTTTCAGACTTTTCAGACATTTCAGACTTTTCAGACTTTTCAGACTTTTCAGACTTTTCAGACTTTTCAGACTTTTCAGACTTTTCAGACTTTTCAGACTTTTCAGACTTTTCAGACTTTTCAGACTTTTCAGACTTTTCAGATATTCCAGAAATTCCAAGCTTTTCAAACATTCCAGTCATCCCAGACTTTTCAGACATTTCAGATATTTCAGACATTTCAGACTTTTCAGATGTTTCAGACATTCCAAACATTTCAGACTTTTCAGATATTTCAGACATTTCCAGACATTTCATTTTTTTGTCAGATATCTGTTTGATTCTGGAATATCTGAAAAGCTGAAAAGTCTGAAAAGTCTGAAAAGTCTGAAAAGTCTGAAAAGTCTGAAAAGTCTGAAAAGTCTGAAAAGTCTGAAAAGTCTGAAAAGTCTGAAATGTCTGAAAAGTCTGAAAAGTCTGAAAAGTCTGAAAAGTCTGGGCTGCCTGAAAAGTGTGAAGATTTTGAAACGCCTCGGAAGAGTTTAAATAGTCTGTCAGGTCTGCAATATCAGGAACATTAGCATTTCAGTTACTTGTATAAGAAGGCCCTGTTACCACATCGTAGTAATGTTTAATAATACTATATATATATCTATATTATATAGAAAAATATTATATATAATAATAAATAATGATAATAATAATATATATATATATATAATATATATATATATATATATATTATTATTATTATTATCATTATTATTATTATTATTATTATTATTATATATATACATATATTATTTTTCATAATAATAATACTAATATATGTATATATAAATATATTATTATAAATATATTATTATAATTATATTATTATTTATTATTATTATTATATATATACATATATTATTTTTCATAATTAATACTAATTAGTATATATAAAATATATATTAGAATTATATTATAATATATTATTATTATTATTATTATTATAGATATACATATATTATTATTCATAATAAATACTAATACATGTATATATAAATATATGACTATTTATTATTATTTTTTATATATACATCTATTTTTATTCATAAGAATAATAACAATACCAATATGTGTATATATATAAAAATAGATTAGTATGTGTATATTATTATTATTATTATCATTATATACATATATTATTATTTATAATAATAATATATATTATATATATAATATAATTTAATAATATATATATATGTATTATATATATATATAATATATATAATATAACATGTAAAAATTAGACACAACGTATTTATATAATATATCGAAAAATACATATCATATAAATATTTTGTATAATACATATATATATATATATTGAAACCCTAAACCCTAAACCCTGAACCCTAAACCCTAAACCCTAAACCCTAAACCCTAAACCCTAAACCCTAAACCCTAAACCCTAAACCCTAAACCCTAAACCCTAAACCCTATATAATTAATTAATAGAATATATATTTTATAATATATAAACAACATAAATATGTAATAAATATGTACAGATATAATATTTTAATTTCTGCTCAGGTTCCGACCTCAGATGCAGTGGCCGGCTCGTCAGTTTCGTTGCCCTAACCCTAAACCCTAAAACAAACACTGACGCATACACACGGGGGGGGTGTGAAGAACGGCACTCTCACCACGAGTGAAAAAAAAAATAAACAGCTGCGAGCTGCTTTGAGGCGGGGCGGTGCCCAAAGCAGAGAGTGTTCCGGCATTGTGCGTCTGGGTCAAACTCATGAAAGCGCACGGCCAGCGATAGTGTCTGAGTCTTCATGAAAGCGCACGGCCCAAGTTTCCAGGGTTTTGATCTGTTGATTACAGCTTTGGTGCTGAGTCCGGCTGTGTCTCGCCATCATGTCGAGCCCTCCTAAGCAGTACATTTCCACGATGAAGAACGTCTACACCTATGTGCAGAAGGAGTGGACTGCTAGTGGAAAGCGGATCTTGGGTGAACGTGGACACGCTGCTATTCATCTGCAGTCTGTTCGTAAAAGCCACCCAGCTCTGCCAATCTTTCTCTACGCGCTGGTTGGTGTCGTAGTAGCCTCGAACGGAGCTTTGCTTCGAATTTGGGGCGGGCTCTCACCGGTCGCCTTGTGGATTCTCAACTGTAATTACAGTCAGACGCGCAAAAGCGGTCTCACATCCATTGCGGAGGTGTTCGCATCTGTAGCAGACCAATGCGTCCGCAAGACTTTTCGCCGACTTCTCCAGAACAAGAGTGTGGATGCCAAGGTGAAGACTACCACAGTACAAGAAGACGGCAGGCACGAAGACACGCTGATGCAAGACCTGGCTGCTCCAGCCGAGGCACAAGATGACAGACATGCGCGACTAAGTCTATGGTCAGTGGCATATCTTGGCGGCACCATTGAGCGCTGCAAGGAGCGCTGCAGTGGTGACTTCAACTTTGTGCAAAACAATCCTAAAGCCTTCAAGGATTTGCCAGGCATTGATGCGTCTGCTACTGCTTCTGCAGCCGAAGCCGCCGTTGCAAGTGGGGAGGGCTTGCGAGGGCGTACCTGGTTTTCTACGCTGTTGCTCTTTGACGAAGCGTATGAGTTTCTAATGGAACTCGGCATCTTGGACAGTCCAAGTTCCGCTGCAAAGAAACAGATGTCTGGAGGCGTTGATGTTTCTGGTCAAACCCCCAATGCTGGGTGGGCAAACAGGCTACTGCAAACGGGCGTGAGCACGTTCGAAACGAAGAGCTGTGGATCGTTCGGCGGCTTGCACTCTCCAAGCGTCAACACAGCCCTAGCCGGCAATTTTCATCCCGGCGTCGCGGTGGAGATGATTCGCGGGCTCCGTGGCGACCACGGATGCCAAACAAAAGCTCGCTTCCTGTTTGCCAGTGGGCAGCCCATCCAGCCGCATGAGGAGTACGAATCTGTCGGCTTGGATGCCAAAGTAGAGTACTGCGCACTCCCCAGTGTGTTGCTTGATTTGTTGCGACTGAACTGCTTGGAGAGTCCTGAGAAGGCAGCAGTGGAACTAAAGCACGAGGACGACCTCATCGACGGTGTTGCTGAGTTCACGGACGCAGGTTTCTTTCCCGATGCAGTGGGTTGGCCTTACACCTTGCCAGACGGCGTTGTCACTAAACTTCGCTTTCGCCAGACTCCAGACGGTCCTCAGCCAGAGTGGTCCATGGCAGACAGAGATGTAGACGTTCCTCCAGAGCTTGAACTACGCCCGGCAGCGCAGCGTCTCACTGAGATCTTTGAGCAGGAGCACCGCGTCCTAGAGTTCTCAGAGAGCGGCAAGCAACTTTTCAAGAGCTACTCGTGCTATTTTAATATTATGGTGGCTCAAGCTCGAGAAGATGGTGACGTGGGTCAGGGTGCCCAGATGGGCGCGTGTCCGTGGAAACTTGCCACGCTTGCTTCGGCTTCTTATTAGCTGCAAACCAAACTTTTCAATCTTTGGTGCTCTTGTAAGGTAGTCGATTCTGAAAGTTTCGATTTTGATTTCCTTAGGTTTTAGGCCAGTGAGGCTTTGGCACTCTGGGATCTTGCCTGGCAGCAGTCGGCGCCGCCGGTTAATCCGGAGGCGCCGGTCCTGATCGATGCGGATGTGGTTGCACGGGCGTTTGGACTGCTGGAGATTCTAGAGAGCGTAGTGGCTATCATGGCTGGTAAGGAAGAGTCGTCTGCCTTCTCAACGTTCAACGAAGCCGACTCAGCGGAGAGAAAGCGGAAAAGGCCCATGGCGTCCATTGGTGGCCATTCAACGAACTCGCCAAGAGACCGTAGCGTGGCTCCGAGTTCTACTACAAGAAATCGAACTTCACGACGCACAGCGCCAGGACATCATATTCTGGATGACAGTGCCTTATCTTTCACTACCATCTTCCTGCTCGGGGCAAGTGCTCGAGTTCTTGTTTCCATCTGTGCTGCCCACGACAAGCGTCGAGCTAGTCTTGCAGTCTCCCAGTTGGATTCTAAGCGACTCTGACGATGATGATGTTGAGTTTGATGACCTTCGGCATGATGAGAACTTCGAAGCTTTGAAGAGCCGTAGTGAGCAAGAGCGCAAGCTCTTGGATCAGGTTCAACAGATGTGCGGTGAGTTCATGTGTTCCAACATTCGTGCGTGCGGCCACATCCATTTTCTTCGTCATCGTCAGACGATCTGGCCAGTTTCAGTACGCGAAACAGCTGTACGATGGTCACTCTGAGTCTGAGTAGGGATGTGTACATATGTACTGGGACTGTGGGTGAGGCCCCGGCCTATCATTATGCAGAAAGATAGGCTAGGCCTTGGTCGCGCTGACCATACTCTTTCAATACGTGTTTGGGGAGTTGGGGAGAAAGTTCAGGCGAAACGTGCTAAAAAAAAGATCTTGTTGGCACCGGCTGTGTCACAAGAGTGCACTTATCGCTGCTACAACGTACAAGTGCCTTCGTTGCAGTCGTTTCGCAAGCGAAAACCACCCGGACAGGGCTCCCGGGGCCCTCGCCCGCCCAAAGCCCTTAACCCTAAACCTTAAACCCTAAACCTATGACTGATGTCTGTGGCCCAGGCTCTTGCATATTGGACTGTGAGTGTGAGGGTGTCTCGCATGTTTAGGGTCTAGGGTTGGCGTCTCAGTCCTTGATGTCAAAGCCTTTTCGACACAGGATCGTTTTCAATGCTTGCCGTGCTGTGACTGTTTCAGCCAGCACGGAACAGCTGTTGCAGCTGGGCATTGGAAAAAAATATTGGCAGTCTCTGCGTCGCGCGTTTGTCAGAGGCAGAGGTGTAGTGCTCGTGTCGTAGGGGTAGTCTTGTACTGCTATGGCACCAAAGAAAAACAACCAGGACAGGGCAGTGCCCCTTCCGCCTGGGCGTGTGCAAGTCCAGGACGGTGGGGCGTCCTCAAGCCGGGCGCCGGTACTACCGCTGTCGCCTCCAGCGCGTTCGGTAGACGTCACGGGTTCGGGTGGTCCGGCAAAGAAGAAGATGAGGATGGCGAACATGTTAAGGGCCAAGTAGGCTTCCAAGCCATGTTAGTTTCTTGCAAGCGGTACCAGCTCTTCTCAAGCAGCGCGAAGTTTCAGACCATGGCGCCAAGCGCGTCCACGTCGGGACTGCGCAAGTCCCGCAGTTCCGTCACTCTTGTCTTGTTCGTGGGGAGTTGGTGACCCTTGATATATTCCAAACATGGCCCTTATACTTATACTGCCTTAAGCATCTTCAAAAAGATACCTAACTGATGGCCTGCGCCCGCCCTTGGCGGAGCCCGTGCTAATTCAGAAAGATCTTTATAAAGATTGGTAAACCATTGTTTCATATGACCCAGGATCCTTTTTCTGGGGAGTTGGTGACCCTTTATATATTCCAAACATGGCCCTTATACTGCCTTAAGCATCTTCAAAAGGGTACCCAACTGATGGCCTGCGCCCGCCCTTGGCGGAGCCCGTGCTAATTCAGAAAGATCTTTATAAAGATTGGTAAACCATTGTTTCATATGACCCAGGATCCTTTTTCTGGGGAGTTGGTGACCCTTTATATATTCCAAACATGGCCCTTATACTGCCTTAAGCATCTTCAAAAGGGTACCCAACTGATGGCCTGCGCCCGCCCTTGGCGGAGCCCGTGCTAATTCAGAAAGATCTTTATAAGGATTGGTAAACCATTGTTTCATTATGACCCAGGGTTCTTTTTGTGGGGAGTTGGTGAGTCGTGGTGCAGTCTGTGCCTCAAGCAAGGCTGAGACCATAGTTCACGGTACTTATAGTCCGCCGCTGCGACATCAGGCACCCTCAAGGGATTCAGACTTGCATCCCTAAGGTTGTACCCCTAAGGGCTCCTTTTATATACTCCAAACATGGCCCTTATACTGCCTTAAGCATCTTAAAAAGGGTACCCAACTGATGGCCTGCGCCCGCCCTTGGCGGAGCCCGTGCGAATTCAGAAAGATCTCCATAAAGATTGGTAAACCATTGTTTCGTATGAGTCGCAAAAGAACAGGCACCATTCTTGTGAAGCGTGAGGGGATTTTCCTTTCAGCGCGACTCAGCCATGGAGGACCGTCTGGAAGACTTGACGCGTGCCGCCGCGGCGCAATTTGGGGCAGGGTTCCGCTACGCAAGCGACTTTGGAACCAGTTGGGTGTACCAGCAACTCGATATGCAAAGAGGCAATCGGGTGTCCAAGACTGTGTCGCGATTATACATGTCGACTTGGAACGCATTGGACCGCATGTATCCAGAAAGAGTGGTTGATTGGCCGCATTTGCCTGAGCCACGTCCGATGTTGCACGAGGAGACGCATTTTCATGCCCTGGGACGGACAAAGCCATTGACACAAGATGTCATTCTGTCTGCGTATTCGCCGCAGGCTGTGCGAATGGCTGCGCAGGGGAATGAGGATGAGTTCTTCGCCGCGATTTTTGCTAACCCGCCTTTGCAAATGGATCTGACGTGGACAAGGAAGGAGCGCAAGCGCGGTTTGAAGGGGCCCACGGAGGAGTGGCCCCTTCAGGCGCAACATCTGGCAAAGGAAGAGCAGCCCTTGTCGCAAATTTTTCAGCGGCCGTCCACTGCGGAGGTCACGGAGGTCGAGGCGGCAGGAGTCGGCGAAGTGTACCGCTTTGACTACACGGAGCAGGCGGTGAGACATCAGATTCATCCACGGCGACTGCACAATCGGATATCCGGCTTATGCTGGAACGCCGGCGCGGTGCGCCAGGGAATCGACATCTCAGCCTTCCTCGCAGGCACGTGGTCATACTTAGCCATGCAGGAGTGCGACCTCATGGATTTGCAACGGTTGGAGAGCTTGGAATACAGTGTCGTCGCTGTCGCAGAATCAGGATTGGCAGTTGCAATGCCCGAGGATTTTCTGGCTCGGAGCGGGCAGTTGGTTCAGGCAGTGACTGAAGACCTACCGTCGGGGCAGTGGGCCTTGAGGGGGATCTTCGGCAAGTTCGACCTAAGAGTTCCAGAGGGGTGGCCTTTGCAGCATCTTGTCGTGGGGTCTGCTCACCTAAATAACATGGTGGCACGTGAAAAGAGAGGACGAACCAGAGATCTGCTGCAGCAGTTATTTGCCGCGGCAGTGGAGGCTTCTTGCGACATTTTAGGTCTTGACCTGAATCAAGGTTTGGGCCAGTTGTCGGATGAACTGAGGATATTCATTCAGAGGAACAACTTGCAGCCAGTCGCAACAGAACTGTTGGGAAATTGCGAAGGCGATTGCTGCGGGTGGCTACAGCTTCCTGGCTCGCAACTCTTAAATCTGGCCGTACAAAGACACGGCCACATCCCTTTCGACCATAGAGACTTGCGAATCCGCATGTATGACACGGACTCCCACTACCCTGCCTTCGTCTTTCACTCCGTGGACAACAGTCGCACCAGAGGAGAAGCGAGCACTGCAAGGCTCAAAAGGAAAGAACGTAAGGAGGAGAAGCTGGAGCAGAAGAGAGCCGCGAGGGCAAGCGCTTGGAAGAAACCGGTCTGATGGTCTCATGCTAGAGTCTCTGCAGAGTTCCCCTTGCTGCAGCTGCCATGCAGTACGCTCATATGTTTGGGAGCCGACCCATTGATGTTCCTGCCGTGATAGCGCAAGAACACTGCGCACCCCTTAAGATGTTAACTTGATTTAATGCGATTGATTTGTTGGGGACAGCCTTACTGATAGTGTTGCTTTTGGAACCAAGGCTTTGTGGATCATAGGAGGCTCTGTTGGCATATATATATATACTTTTCATAATAGGAACCCAAAACCAAAAAAAGTAATATCAAAGTACAGTATTCCAAAAACCCAGCCTAAACCCCTCCACCCTCAGAGTCGGGAGGTTACGTTTAGGTGTCCAGGAGGACTCCACTTGCTTTGGTTCTTCGAGCCGTCATTTCAACTTGCTGTTTGGGCCCAATTGGCATACGGTCTGCTTGGTAGGCTCTCCACCCTAAACCCTAAACCCTAAACCCTAAACCCTAAAGGGCAACGCTGAATTCAGCAAACAAAGTCGAAAACATGGAGGCCGCAGTCGAAAAACAACGACGTGGAGTCAGAAATAGGGACCAATGTCGGAAAACAACAAGGCAAAAATCAGAAAACATGACGGCCACAGTCGAAAAACAAACAAAGCCACTAGCAGGAAGCAAGAAGGAACATACGCCGCCCGCCTCCGCTGCCCCAGTTAGAAAATTCAGAATTTGAAAAAGCCACAGTCGCAAAACGCAAAAGCCACCATCGGAAGCAAGCAATCCGAAAGGGAAAACGTACGGTCGTTGTAATGCGTTGACGCGATGATCCCTTGAGTATTCGGAGGCTCCCAAATTAGAAAAGTCACCATTAGAAAAAGCCACGGGTCAGCAAACACGAAGCCGCAGTCAGCAAGCGAACCGCCACGACAGAAAACACGCCAGATCAAGTAAGCGCTCCGTAAGCCGCAATTAGAAAAGTCACCATTGGAAAAAGCCACGGGTCAGCAAACACGAAGCCGCAGTCAGCAAGCGAACCGCCACAACAGAAAACACGCCAGATCAAGTAAGCGCTCCGTAAGCCGCAATTAGAAAAGTCACCATTAGAAAAAGCCACGGGTCAGCAAACACGAAGCCGCAGTCAGCAAGCGAACCGCCACAACAGAAAACACGCGATCAAGTAAGCGCTCCGAAAGCCGCAATTAGAAAAGTCACCATTAGAAAAAGCCACGGGTCAGCAAACACGAAGCCGCAGTCAGCAAGCGAACCGCCACAACAGAAAACACGTCAGATCAAGTAAGCGCTCCGTAAGCCGCAATTAGAAAGTCACCATTAGAAAAAGCCACGGGTCAGCAAACACGAAGCCGCAGTCAGCAAGCGAACCGCCACAACAGAAAACACTCCAGAAACACTCCAGATCAAGGAAGCGCTCCGTTTTGAATTCCTTCTACGCATATGCTCTAGGCTACCGAATCGAATCATAAGCAGAAAAATCAATCTTAGGAAAAGCCACACTCGAAAAGCAAAAAGCCGCAATGGGAAACAGCATGGTCGCCTCGAGACAAAGGCGTGACAAGCTCTCTTGCCCCGTTTCTTGCCTGCAGATGAAAACCCTACGGTTGTTTCTCCTGCATGCAGAAAACAGAAGACCCAGTCTTTTTCTAGCAAGCCCAGCGCTCTGAAGTCGCAGCTGCCGCAGCGCCGTGCGCAGTGGCATCGGGTATAGTTCGAAGGGACTTCACACCTGAGGCGTTCGGCTGCTTGGCATCCTTCCACCTGCGCGCAGATTACAAGGGTTTTGGCGTTTGCGCTTAGAAGGTTGAGGAATTTAGGGTTGAGGGTCAGCGTCTCAGGGCGCAAGCTCGAGGACTGACGGTCTGGGCCCTTGGGATTTCAAGGGGAATCTGTTAGGCATTGCGCGGGATGTATGCATGCCACCAGTGGGACGATTTCGCGATGGGGCGGGCTGTCAATATCGCGAGCCAATTTTCTGCGACACTGATGAAAGAGACTGGTAAACGACGCAAACTTGCAAAGACGCGCAGGATCGATCTAGAACATGGATGTGCGGTCGCGCCGTGCAACCAACTGGCTCTTCCCAGAAATATCGCAGGCTTCTAACAGGGGTTCCAACAGCCGTGAAGGACATCTGCTGCCCTTCAGGTATCTCAAGCCTTTAGGGGTCCAAGCCAGAAGGATGTCGCAAAATCCTGGAGAGAAATGTATCCGCGCAAGCACGTGTAACTACATTTGACTCCCTCGCAACCCGCTGAAGATCCTCCCCAGGACCTCCAAAATCTTTGAACGACGCGTAGTTTCGCAAGGAAACTCCATGTGACTCCTGAAGAAAGTGGCGTTTCTGCAATAAGACCTGTAGGTTAGGTCCGCCAACCCTTGGCAGCGTGTTGGACGGAAATGACCTTTCCCTCCTTAGCGCGGGGAGGGAAGGGTGGAGAATAGCCCTGCGGCTTTTCCGTGGAGAAACCTCGATTTCAAGGACTGCGGACTGCGGACCTGCCCTGGGACCCCCGAAAAAACTTCTGAAACCCCCCCCCCTTGATATACTCCTAAGTTCACCCTCTTGACTGCTACACCCTGTGCTGCTGCGGAGAGGGTCCTAAATCTGGAGACAGAGACTAGACGGATATATGGCACTTGACCCTTTAGGGAGAACTTGAACTCCGAACTCCTAAGCTGCCGAACCTTGAAACCTGAACCTGAAAGCTTGCCAGCCCGGCATACTCAATAACGAAGTATGCATCTTGAAACCTTCATTGGCATTGTCGCGGCGAGGTTCCAGGTCGATATTCCTGCCATGTCAGTACACAGTGCCATGCTAATATTGGCTAATATATGTGCATGTCTGCAGAAGCGCGAGCGCAGCAGAGGTTTTGCTACTCGCGCACTGCGTTGACCAGAACGAATTACGAATTGGTGCACGTCCAGGACCCGATATGACGAGCCATTGTGTAGAAGCATCCTAGACACCGGAGGATTGCGTCCGATACAGGGTAACGCCGGAGCCGTGAAAAGGCAGGTCCAAGGCCACGGGCCTTGCAGATTCGTCAAGTGCTCTCTCCAGAATGCCCGGCAGACGCAAGCGCTGCCACATCTCCACAGGCGCCAGGAAGGCGTCTGCTGTTGCGCGTCGAGGTTCAGCAACGGCGTCTGCGTACACCCGGCATGCGTAGTGGATGCGGCCCGCTGTAGAACGCCACGGTCCATAGGACAGCACTGCATCCCTAGCTGGCTGCCTGTCTTGGACGGGCCAACCCCAGCCAAATTGACTCGGCCAGTCACAGCGTGTATCAGCACCACTTAATGAAATATCACTGTCCAACTGCGCCAAAGCGCAACTAGGCGAAATATCTTCGGCAGGGCTCCTCGAATCAAGCCGACTGGCAGGGCTAGCTGCAGAAACAGCATCGTTGCGGATGTCGTCAGCGCCAATACCTGCCCCGGCAGCATCCTCCTCTGAGACACTCCAAGCATGCTCGAGAGCAGCGGAAACACCTGCAGCGTGGGTCTCCTGCATGACATTAACATTCAAGCCACGCCCACGGCTTTGCTGTGCCACTGTTGTGCTTGGCTCCCCCAGTGCCACGCCCCGATCCTCCATAGGGGCTCTGAAAGCCTGCTGCCAACACCAGTTGCCCTGCGAACGCAAGCCATCGGACATCGGAAACACCTACTCTTCCACACCTGCGAAAAACGACTTCAAGCCAGAAGCCGTCAACCCATGACCTCTAAATCGGTAAGCCCTTAACCTCTAACCCCCTCAACCCTTGATTGGTTCCCTGTCTACTTTGCTTGCGTTACTATCTGCGGCGACATGTCCGCCTTCGTGGAGAGCATGCTACTTGTCAGTTGTAATTGTAAGGCTGCGTAGCGGAAAGACAGAACTGAAAGCACAGCTTCGCCAACCTGATCGGCCTGCGGCCAAACCCGCACATCGCACGTGCGAAGCACCATGTGAAGCTGTCAAAACACAGTTGAAGCAAGTTGTCAGGTATGCCGGGCACAGGGGCCTCCTGAACGTGGTCTCTGCAGCATCCCAATACCATGCCTGCACAATGCTGCCCGCAGGAAGACCCTTGCACGGCTGCAACACATGAGCACCTTTGCTCACGCGCACCGCCTGACGAGTTAAACGTCGCAAACCCCGCAACTGCCCTGCGCTGACCTCAGAGCTGCGCCGTCCTCGTGATAAAAACAACCTCGCTCAGCACGCGCGCGGTTGAGTATCTGGCCCAGTTTGCACAGCGATCGCTGTACTCTTCTGGGATACGGCGCAGCCAGAGCGATTCGCCTGTGAGTAAGGCCTACCTACTCAAAAGCCTACCTCTTTACCCCAGACAGTCCATGCGCAGTACTATGATGGAATTGGGATCCCAACAAACCGTATCAAGTCTGGGTCTGGCTAGGCTTTAGGGTACCGAATTCTCTAACTCTACTACAAATGGTAGAGGTGGGTTTGCATGGCAAGTCCTGCCAGCCACGTGTACCGCCGTCGGCCACTTCTCGGCCACAGCGCTCGCAATGTCCAGGAGCACGCGACGCCGATCCTGGCAACACCAACGGGACGCGATCCAGACACCCTACTGCTGAGCACAAGGAAACGGGACCGCGCCTCTCTCAGGCGCTTGTCGCTGCACAATCGGAGAAACTTGTCCGTGCCATCGCCTGAATACAGCCAAGCATGGGGACTGCACGTTTTCACACCCGGCCTCTTGCGGACCGCGCACTGAAAAGGCAACCTAGGCGAAAATTCTCGCAAAACTACGTCACACCTTAGACCCCACCCTGCCGTAGCCCAGAACGCTGCTCGCCCCCGCAAAGTCTTCAACAAGCCCTGCGCCGGCTGCGGCTTCCACAACGCATGTCCCCCTCGGCTGCAATCGCGTCGCACGTCTCTACATGTCCATTCGACTGAAGATAAAAGGACGTAAAAGAGAAAGAGCATTCCGCTGAGGCACAGGAATTCGGCCGCAGCCGCAGACACGTCGGCATGCCTCTTCCAGCACGTCGGCTTTCAGGCTCGCCTGCGCAAGTACCCTCTTGAACCTGGTTTGCGGCATTGCGGCTTGCCAGCGGAAGGGGCATGAGGGCTCAGTGTCCTGAAGCTCTGCTACAGGCAAGTAATTCTTGAAGGGACCACTCGCTTCATCAGCCTTCACACCGGGTCAATCCCGGCCTGCAAGAGGCGCTCGTTCTCCAGCTGCAGTTTGCAGAATGCCGGATCTTCGACCTGTCGATTCAGTGGCTGAGCAGACGGCTTTTGATGGCTTTTGGGCTCAAGGGGATCCCAAGGAGCTGCATGCGTTTTTTCGCTCTTTGGGCTTTGTAGCCTGAATTTCCCATGGTCTCGCTTTCTTGGCCCAGAGAAACAGAACTGGGAGTAAATTTTGAGTGCAGAGTTGGGATTGCATTCCGGATGGCGTTCGGGGTAATGACCCCACGCCCAACAACCTGTCACCTGTCATTGGATAAACAAGACAACGTTCTCCAGAATCGCCAATGCGTGCTCCTGACCCCCGACACTCCCCATCCCACCCCCCTGCGACCTGACGCCCCCCGCCGCCCTCCGTACCACACCGGCCACAAAAGCACGCGCACTGAAAATACGGCGTCTTAGAGGGCATCTGTGAAAAAAATTGGACGACCGCCCCAAACCTCATGGACCTCAAACCGCGGCCCGACCTTGGGCTCGCGGACATCCGGCGCCCGAGCAGAACCCAGCAGCACCGGCAGCGCATTCCGGCAGCCTTTCCTTAGCTTTTAAAGCATGGGCTTTAGGGAGTTTAAAGAGGTTTAGGGGTTTCGGGTTTGGGGTCCGGGCTTGGGGCTTGTAGGGGTTTGCAGGGTTTTCGGCGGCAACGTGAATCTGTCCGCCCGGAGGATCTTGGCCCGAGAGCAACGCCAACCTTAAACCCTACCTAGGGGCTATTTCCTGAAATGCCGTGAGGATCCCACGATAAACCCATAAAGAGAGTCCCAGGTAACCCCTAACCCCACCCAACCTATCTTACCCGCAGTCCATAGTCCATGCTGAAAGGCTACAGAGCTCGCGCCCACCGCCGTCTGGGCACCCATCGCGAGCGCACCCATTCTTAACTTGATGCTGCGTCTACTCTGGGGTGAAACGACGATTAAAAACAAAACTAACGAAAACCCTAAAACTCTGCAACACTGGAACTCGACAAGACATGAGCGGATATTGTGTGTGATGTTTGGGGCGTTCTCGGGGGCTTGCACCGTCACGGACACTCCGACGAAAAACTCCGCAAGACCGTGTCCTCATTGGCAAGCGGCTGCTGATCCAACCAGTCCTTTTCAGCTTCCAGGGCTGAGACCAGCACCATCAACTCGTCGTTTCTGGTCTCGACGCTTTGCAGCTGCTGCCGACACAGCTCCACTTGGTTCGTCATCGACTCGGCACTGCTTGCATGCGGTGTCGGCGTGTGGGGAGCTTAGAATCGGCTTAGAACCTGGCGATCTACGATATTTATGAAACATCGCCACGCAGGTACACCTTGATGCAGGCAAGCAGCTTCCTCTGAAGCTTCTCGATAGCTCCAATGTTCTTTGGAGAGAGCGGTGCCTCGGCCACCACTGCTGGAAGCGGGGTCAAGGTGCCGGCGAGCCTTCGCCCCACCTAACTAACGCCTTTATCGGTTCCTTCTTCTACTTCATGCCTTAATTCGGCGAGCCCACGACTCTTGCCTCATGACTTTACCGGCGCCCCTCCCTCCCTAGCTGCCTAACTACCTGGACCACTTGACTCAAACTCTGCAAAGACATGAGCAGATATTGTGTGATATGTTGGGAGTCCTTGGGGGCTGCACAGTCACTCACACTCCGACTAAAAACTCACGCGGGCTTGGGTTTTGGGCTTTTGGTTTGGGGGGTAGCCAGTAATAGGGCCTTTGGGGCTTCGGGTTTCAGGCATTTGGGTTCTTGAGTAAGGGCTTTAGGTTTGGGTATTGGTAAGAAGGCATTTAGGTTTAGGGTTGTGGCCCCTCGATCCGCGTGGCCCTGACTGTGTCCGAGGTCCTTCAGAGATTTACATCTTGTGTGTTTAATAGGGCCCTTGTCAGGGGGTCCTTTCTAGGGCGCCGTAGTATCCGGACCAAATTGAATAAGAGAGCTTCTTCCGGGAATTGCTCAGTAGGGTTGGGCGACAAGTCGACCTGTAGATGACACTCCGGGTCTAGGATTTTGAACGCGGTGGTTTAAGGGGTAGGGGATCCATGGACGACCATTTGATGGAGATTAGAGGGTTGCCAAGGAGGGCTCATGGAGGATAGGTACATAGGGAATTGTCGGGAGCCTTTGCGGGCCTTAGAAAATAGTGGGGAGTATTGGGGTCCCTGCGCTTACATACCCCCAGCCCTAAACCCTAAACCCTAAACCCTAAACCCTAAACCGTCCCCTGAATTGAGAACCCTAGTGTCGTCGGTCAAGACGACGAGGTGCGTGACGAGGTGCGTCAGGCAGCCTAGCGACAGGGTCTGTCGCCGTAGGGCCAGGGCCTGGGCCCCAGCCCTTACAAGCAACCTTCAACCCTTTCTCACAGTGGGGTATTTTGTCTTTTTATAAGGCTATTTCAATAAGCAATATATAATCATACCATGAACTAGAACCGTTGGTTGCCTCGACCCTCAACCCTGCCCTGGGCCCCAAGCCCTAAGTCCCAGGCTTTCCAAAGCCTTGCCAACCCTCACCAAGTAGTTCGAATGGGTTTAGGGTTTAGGGTTTTGGGTTTAGGGTTTAGGCTTTAGGGTAGGGGTTTAAATTTAGGGGGTTTAGGGTGCAGGGTTTAGGGTTAGGCTCAGGGCCTGGGGTTTCACCTCAAGCCGAAAGCCTTAAACCCGGGTTCACCTTAAGTCGAAAGCCTTAAACCCTGAGCCCAACTGCCGAAGAGCCTAAAGCCCCAACACCTCAAAACCAAAGGCCTAAACGCCATAACACCTCGTGTTTACAAATGAAACCCTAATGCTTCAATGCCTGACAACCCAAAAACCCCAACCGAAACCCTGCTACTGTCTCACAACCCCGAAGCCTGAGCCCTCATCCCTAGGAAGCCGTTACCCTAAACCTAAAGCACTGAAGCCTACTTGGAGGTTCATAGTACTGATTAACCATATTATAACTGTGCTTCTTAGAACTCTGCTTATAACCAAATTGGGGCATTTAAGGGCGTTATTTATAAGCGGGTTATAAGTACAGTTCTAATTGGTTAGTAAGTACCATGACATGAACCTCCAAGTTTTATACTTGAGAAGCCTAAAACCCCCAAGGCCTACTAAGGCGTCGTGCCTCAAACACCAAAACCCTAAACCGAAAGCCCTAAGGCCGAAATCCTAAGCCTGCCTGACGAATTGGCAACCCCAAAACCCTCAACCCGACCCACGTTCCTCCCTCGGCCGTCCGCTCCCTGAGCTCCACAGCAGCAAAGGCCAGCCTGCAGGACCAAGCCGTATTGCCTAAAACCCACAACCCAACACCTTTTAGGGCGTCAGGTTCAGGTTTTAGGGTTCCAGGCGGTTCTAGTATTGAAGGGTACTTCAGTGCTCCATGAGGGATTAGGGTGGGTTTGGGGTTTAAGGTGAAGGGTTCAGGGTTTAGGGTTTAGGGTTGTGTAGGGCTTAGGGCTTAGGGTCTTAGGGTTTGGGGTTT